GTGCAGGCAAAATCTGCTGACAAACTGCCCTCTGGGGACATTGGTGTGGTTGAGGTAGTATTGTTGTATAATTGTGTTTTTATTTGAGGCGTTATAGGTATAAAGCGCTCTTGAATTCACACACACACACAGACACACACACATCTTTCTACTCACACAGCTGGCACACTCATACTTCATGCACATGTTTAAAATCTTTATTCTGTTTCTGCGTTTTGGTGACAAAAATTGTGGCAGAAGGGATAGATACATGAGCTAAATGTAGTTGGGGACATAAAGGAAAAGAAGAAAAAAAATTGCAATGTTTTGTGACTCAGGAGGTAAATACTGATCTGTCTTGTAAAATCTGCAAGGGGACACTGGAAGACAAAAGACTGTCTAGTCAAAAAGGTTAACTGTTTGGTGTCAAAGGGCAACAAATTCAGCTTTTAGTTTGTTAACAATAAATTTAACGTCTGTTCCCTCTGAGTCTGTTTTGCCCGTGGTCAGTAAGTGACTTCTCCCAGCTCTTATCTCTACTCAGGAATTCTCTGACTGTTTCTTTTTCTCTCCTCCAAGAAGAGCAGAGGGGGGAGGAGAGGAGGAAAGCGACTTTCAGTGGGTGTTTGAAATCCAGCCAGGATCAAAACTGCCGCATATATAAAAGTCAAGTTTTCTACGATTGACAAGGAACCATATAGTAGGTATTTCTGCCAACAAATAAGGATTAGTGACATCTCGAAGGAAAGAGGCTTCAAGACGTGAGACCAAGAAACACCACTCTCTTTAACTCTTTGCCTCAGTTCCTTAGTTACTTCATACAGCAACTCTATGGAACTGAGAGTTTTGCCACGACCGATGAATCACAGGACACGCGTTTATCACTTCCCACTCGCTTGCGTGCAGTGCCTCCTCCCAGCACCTTTCCCACCTGCTTACAGAAACACCCATGCTCGAGCATCTGTCCTCACTCGGATGGGATATGACCGACCCCTCTCCTGCGTCCTCCATTATCTCACCCTCACCAGACCGATAACATTCTGCATAAGCCTCCCCTGTTGGGGGCATATGAGAAAATGGCCATGCAACCAGAAGAGAAGTCTCTTCTCCCTCCACGCAGTTAGGACAAAACTGGAAGAGAAGCACTCCCTCCCACCACGCGGTTTTGGCTGTGGGAGCGGAAATGAGGGCTCCACTTCTTGCACTCGGCATGGGCAAGATGGCAGCGCCCATGCCATGGCACAGTCGTCATGTGGCTGCAATTCTACAGCAGCTATACGGTAGGGGCTATCCTGTGTCTCTTCCCCCATCTCATGGTGGGAATCTACCAACCATCCCTCTGTAACAACCATGCGATCTGCGCCATGCGCCCAACTCCCCAGATCCTGCGCACCCACAAAAATTCGGCACGGAATCGCCAGGTATCTCGTTTCTCTCTTGTTGCTGGCCGAGGGAAGATAGCGCCGATTCAAGCAATGCAATTTCTCCTTCCCATATTCTTTCCTCCCACGGTCCCAGGGCTCCCCCAGATCGCCATTTCTGCACCCAGTTTCTAGGGGGTTTCTGTGCCTATCACGGTTTGCAGGGGGGGACAGGAGGGTTGAAGTCTACCTCTGTGGACAGGTTTGATTTCCTTTGCGCCATCTTTGGGGCATCCATGACTTCTGTCCATATACCTAAGTTTCTAAAGGCTTCCACATCCCCCGACATTGCTTTTTCTCACATAGTCCTTCCAATTTTTTGCTGAGCTGTTTTCTGTGCTCTGTCTTTTCAGACAGTAGATATCAGAGTGTGCAGAGAGGGCTCTGTTGGAATCTGTCTTGACTCCCTGAGCCCCATTTTTCACAGGAACAGATGGATGGAGAAGATGCAGCAGAATAAATAAGTGCAGGAAGAGAGCTTTTTTGCATTTCATGGTATTAGGTGGTGCAGCATTATAAATGTGGATGATTCTGACCATGGCAGTTACAGTGCCATTATAGTGATGCTTCAGTGATCTTTAAAATTCTGCTCTCTTAATTGAACTGATCTCGAGAACATTCTCTTGTTTACTGGAAAAATAACTTACACTGCAACTTAAAATGTTTTGTTCTTGCTTGCCCTACAGAACACTTGGGGTTTTATTTCTTTGAAAGCCACTTTCAGTTGTTTCCTTCTCTGATGGTACCTATTGAGCAAAGTGTTTTATCCCTGTTTGTCTGTTTGGCTGCATTAGGGCAGCCTGGCTTTTAAGGACAGCATAGTTCCTACATGAGAATTCTTCCAGCAAAACCCAGAGTAACTCCCTTATTATCAGGAAAGATTTATATCCTACTCAATAAAGAAGAAAAAAAATTTAGAGAGTAATGGGTTTTGTTGATGGAACTAATAGAAATAACTGTACTTACCATCAGCATTTGCCATTAATGTATTTGTGTTACTGTCCAATACCTGTTGCCAGCAGGCTTTATACATTTATTTAAATAGATACAAGCAATTTCAGATCTGAGGATAAATGTTGTGGGGTTTATTTTGCTCAAACGGAGCTTGCATTTTTTAATGGAAGTTATGGCATAGTGTTATACTAAATGTCTTTTGGACTCTGATCTTGAAGAGATAGTATTATGACTGTCAGATTTTGTGTGCAAAAGTTATGATGAACATACACCATCGCCTGGAAAGAATAAAGAATAGAAATTCAGGAATGAAACACAGTAATATATAACTCTAATTTCTAACCAAAGGCTTTTATTACAAGGTAAATTTTTGCCAATATTTAATATATACCTGAAAGTTCAGCTGGTTAAAACCTTAGAATGAAATGTGAAACAGGAAACCTTTTGCTTTCTTAAATTTTACATAAATTAAATTTCCAATTTAAAAAAAAAAAAAAAGAAACTTCTTTCCTTTTAATAGATGTAACTATAATTTCAGTAGAAAGAAAATAATGAATTAATACTTAGGTGATTATTCCTCAAAAGTATCACCCAAACACTTTTCCCTTTTGTATAGTATTGTCAGTGAGATCACTGTGGAATGACGGATAGAGTTAAGCCTAGAGGGGATTCATAATTTTAGGGTAAAAAGCAGATGCAACTCCCTGGACAGACTGAGTTTGACGTGCTCCCCAAGACAGCAATAAACATCTGCTCAAAAAACAGAAAAGAGTGTGGAACCAAGTGGAGAGTACGTGGCTCCCTCCATTCTAATCCCAGCAGAATGGGAGAACATTGTGGTACTGAGACCATGCAGTGCCTGCCTGACAAGGGAGAACATCTGACAAGATGTTCTGCTGCTGAAACCAACAGTGACATCAAACCCCCTCCTCAGATGCCAAGCCACAACCACCACCCCCTCCCATTACGTAGACCAATCAGAAATAAAAGGTATCTGTGACTGGAGTCGCTCAAACTCCACCCAGACACAAAGTAGTATAAAAAGTAAGTTGGGGACAGGGGAAAGTGGGAGAAGACCTCCACCAAAAGGGCTGGGACCAGTCGAGGGGCAGAGTCCATCTTCCCCTGCAGAGGGACACCTTGGGTGAGAACCACACTCTACTTGCATTAAATGCTGCTTTTAGAACTGGGGCTTTTGCTTGGGCTTATCCCATAGCTTATTAGCAGATTGCTTCCTATCAGAGCTTGTACTTGCTTAATATCTGTACCAATGGATTGTTTTAAAACATATTTTTAAAAATGTTTTTAAAAAAAATTAAAAAATGTTTTTAAAACATTTGAACCTCTTTAACCTGTCACAAATTCTATTAATGAAAAGTGTTATTCCATTAATTGTTAAAGTGAGTCCTTGCAGTTGCAGGGAGCAGAAAACACCTTGCCAGGACCTGCGGAGGGGTCTTTGCTCTGTTGAGTCCCCCCTAACAAAGATGGTCGAGGTGCCCTCTGACCTTGTGCCTGTTGGTGAAGGGTCTCATTACGAGATGCTGATGGACTGTCGGACACCAGGGGCTCAACTTTCCTGGGGGCACTGAGAGGCAAAAATCTAAACTCCCACCTTTCACGATGACTATCGGAAAATTTCATTTACTGTTGTCAGAAATGCAACCAAGCTCCTCCCTCCATCCCTCTCCCCAAGCAATCCTAATACAAAACAGCCTTTCTGCGTGGCAGATAGCCAGGGAGCAAAGATGTTGTTGGGAATAGAAGGGTGAAAGTGAGAAAACAAAGACTTTCTGTCTCTTTGGAGATAAAAGTCAGACAACATTAGCTTCAGAAAGCAGAGTGAAGGTATTTTATTTTGAAGGGGATGTTGCAAGTATTTTCAAGTTATTAAATATTTTTATACTTTGTGAAATCTCAGTTGCTTATTTTCTTATTTTATATCTATGTATATTTGATCAAAATATTCAGGGATGGTTGTGTGCATGTGTGTCTCTATGTATATTAAAAACATACGTTTTTAACTCTTACATGTAGTTTTATTTGAGGTACAGTGAGCATCTGCATAAGAAAATGTACCTTTAATGCAGAATCACTACATGGCTGTAAATACGCAGCTCTTCATGTAATATCCATGTGTCAGGAAAAAATTTTACCGAACATTGATATATTTCTCATATTAATAACTGACTGCTTTTTACCATGCTTTGTTGTCTCAGCTTATACATGGCATTCCTCAAACTGGCTGTAGCCTGTTTAGTCTTTGTTATGTTGACGTAGTTAATTTTCTTCACTTACACAAGTCTGGAATGTCTTTCTCACAGAAATACTGGAGGGTGATTGGTGATCAAAAGAACCCACAAAACAAGCCAGTGGTAGATATTTATCCAAACAATCCAAATCAAAATGTTTTCTTGGATTTGGGGGAAAAGTGGGAACTGGAGAATGGGGGACAAAGTGTTAGGTGGAAGAAATGGCCATGAATTTTAGGAACAGAAGTAGTTCTTTAAAATGTCCGAATTTGATTCTATAAAGGAGTAAAATCTATTAGATCTGCTAACTGAGATGGAAATAAAAATATGTGATCAGACAGCAGAAGTATTTACTCTTTATGAAAAAAGGGTAGGTGATAAAAGTAGCTTTTGGCAGCACAGCACAAAACAGAGAGAATTCCTGTCCTGTTTCCTAAGGTGTTGCTCTGAACTGCTTTCTCAGTTTTGTTTATTCCAGATGAAGGGACAAACACAAGTTCATTCCCCTGTGGAAAAATCCACTAAATGCATCCTAAAACAAAACTAAGCCATTAGTTTGCTCTTTATTTTTTTCAGATCCAGGTGCTCACAGGAAATATTGAGTGGGTGGCTCTGGACAAGGGAATGGATGGAAATAAATTGGGACAGAAGTGGTTATAATGTGAGCTGAAACTAGACTGAAAGATGAATAAGGACATTTTTATATTTATGTTTGTACTAGTTTTCCTATCTTCAGAAACTCCTCAAAATGCCCCTTACTGACATTTATGTCTTACTGTGCAGTTCTATGAGTTTAAGTTTCACTTTTATGATTGTTGGAGATCTAATGGTCAATAGTTTGATTGCTGTTACCTTGCCACACTTTAAAGGAACTCTACGTGCTTTTAGGGAGCTGAAAGGAGTTCTGAAATTTGCATAAATGGAACCAAATCAAGGAGTTGTGTATAAGGCTTTAATTTTCATTTTGTTTCTCAATACAAAGGTCTAAATCTGTTAGTTATCATCTCTAGTGATAAATCATTACCCCAGGAAGCATCTTGTAAATTGTCTCTGAAATACTGTATTAATAGATTCATTTCTTGGCATTACTTTGCTCTTCTAGAAAATTGTCCTAAAGCCCAACTTTTATCTTGGTAAATTTTAATAGAAAATTGTACTTAAGTAGTGCCCTGTGTCTGCTTCATTTAATGACTTGTTCACCCTTTTCTATTGCTTTGCACAGCATTTGTTCAGTAAATTTCATCAATCTCTGTGGAATTCCTTGGGTTTTGTCTTGAAAAGCTTCTGTGTCATTTTTGCAGTCCCCAAAGTCAGCCTTAAGCCAGTTAGACAAACCTCAAAGCAGGGCTAGCTCTGTACACTGAGTTCACTACCTCTCAAGAGGAGAGAAATAAGTAATTTCCACTTTCATTTTAAAGAAGAAGTTGAATTTGATGAGGTGTTTTTGTATCCCTGACCCTGCTGACAGTGGTACTTCAGTACCTGAAGGTCCCCAAAGCACATTTGTATCTGTTACTGATGGACCACTGTCTGCTATGGGACCAGAGAGATCAAGAACTGTTGCAGCATTTTCAATTCTGAACTGAATTTAAATGGGAATTTCTTTCATGTCCTGTATTGTGTGTTATTACATTTTCCAAGTCTGTTCTCCCAGGTTCTAGAAGAAATCACATTCAGTTGTCCTTTGGCTGCTTCAGGGAACACTGGCTCTGTACCTTCCCTCTCAGAATCAGTAACTGGGAAGACTCTTCTGTCTAATGCAAAGACTGAAATTCTTTCTAAGGGTAACAACACTTTACCTCAGTGTCTTGACTAAAAAATTCAGCTGCTTCAGCAGCCAATGACGAGGTGGTTGAGTTCAGCTGAGCTTCAGGAATTCTGAGTTGTTAGTCTGTCTTTTTGAAATGTTTTAGTCATCTGTACCACAAGGACTTTTTTCAGTCACATATTCTTAGCTTCCTCTTTCCTAACCCAAGTCACAGCCTGTAAATACTTGGCAGTTGATGAAAAGCCAAAAAGTCCATTCTTCTCTATGAGCACCAGAATGTGGCT